CGCCGTGGCCTCAGGGCTCAGCCGCCACCGCCGCCGCTGGTGCTGATGCTGCGTCCGTCACTCAGGGGCCGGAAGTGCTGCGGCCCGGAAGTCCCACCCGCCGGGCAGAGGGGGTGGTGCCCGCCGGTCCCGCCGCAGCCCCGCGGCGCCGCGCCGCTAGGGGTCGTAGGGGCCGTTACGTAGGAGGAAGCGGGGCTCTGCCGGCCCGAAGCTCGGCGGAGCCCTGCGGTGAGCGCTTCTGCTCAGGCTCCTCACCGTTGCTACCGGCCAGCGCCTGTCACATTTAGCGTGTCTCCGTCGGCTCTCAGACACCAGCCCGGTCTTTTACGTGAGTTAGCATATGTCCCAAGAGCATGTGTAGAGGACTGTGTACAGTGTAGAGACTTAAAGGAGCATCCGTGCGGCCACCCTCCCTTCAGAGGTGACCGTGGCGCTGACCTGGTGCACTTTGATTTACCTTCACAGTTTTACCACACATTAGTGCACCCCTACGAAGCAAGCATTCAGAGCTTCTCTTCGAATAGTGCCTACCGCCCACTGTCCCTTCTGGGGTTCCAGTTCAGGGCAACCTGCCCGTCTCACCCTAAAATCAGGTTAATAAGCTTTCATTTAGTCTAATTCGATGTCCTGCGTTTTGTGTAACTTCTTCAGATTTCCCAGTTTCTTCAGCTATGTGTAACCTATTTAACCCATCCGTCGAGTTTTAAATTCCAGTGGTTACGTTTTAAATTTCTTTGTCCTATGATTTTCTTATATTCTACCAATTTGGATAGGCTCTTATTTTCTCCACTTTTAGCTACTTTATTTTTTAAGTTTCTTTATCTTTATTGTTGAAAATATTACAGATGTCCCCTCCCCTTTTTATCCCCATTGATCCACTCCACCCCGCATCCATCCCACCCCCAGGCCTTCCCCAGACCAGTGTCTGTGTCCATGGGTTATGCTTATAAATATTTCTTTGATTAATCTCTCCCTGCCCACTCCCCCCTCCCAAACACATGTTCAGATGAACAAATGAAGATCATGTTAGGTAACCCATGTCGTGTTTCTTTCTGAAGTGCTTTTCTGGTAGGTGGCCTCGATCCAGTAGGCAGAATAGCATGGAGCCTCTCTTAGGGGAACTCTCCAGGTGGGCAGTGCCAAAAATTTTAATCACCCTGAACCCACGTCATGCACACAAGGATGTTAAATTTGCTTGGAGGACATATGAAAATAGCTAATATTAGTAAGAAGGAAAGATGTTCCATCTGTGCTCTCTCAATAGGGCCTGAATCTACAGGCAAACTCTTATCAGCTCAGCACCTCACCTACTCATCACAAGGCTTGTCACTGGACAGTTTCAAAGCCAATTCACTTTTTTAGGAAAACGGTGGAAGAAAAAAAAGAATCATCAACTTACAGAAACTGAAAAAAACTCTCACACATTCCCACTCATTCTACTCAAAGCTAAATCTTTGGTTTTCAAATGAAAAAATCTAAATCCATAACCTTAGAGATTAATTTGGGCATCCTCTGGCTAAATGAGGAAAAAAAAAAGAGGAAAAAAAAGGCAAACCCATTCACCAATGAAAAGCCGTAAGGGAAAGAGCAAAGGTCAGGCACTTCACAGACACCAAATAGGCAAAGACTCTGAGTACATGATTACTAAGTTTATTTCAACTGTTATATCCAATTCTGCATTGTAAAAATAACAAAATGTTCCTATCAAAATTACATTGGGATGTGAGTACAGGTTTGTTGTTTTTGATACAGCTCTAGAAAAAAGTTGGCACCAAATGCACATAAAAAGTTTTAAGGCTTAATAAAAATACAGACTGCTAATTTTTCGATGCAGCTTAGAGGTTGGTAACAGGATGCTAAGAGTTCATGAATCCCTGCCAGTGGACAGAATGAGTCCTTCCTCTCCTTGGGCAGACAGTGAGGGTGGGGCAAAGCCACAAGGGCTAACAGTACAAGTGTCAGGGTTCTTCCTAGCAACCCAATTTGGAATTCAGATTATTTTCTTGTATATTAATAAACAAAATGTAGTTATAAATGGCAGTTCATTTCCACCATTAGCACATTTCATTGTAAGTTAAACAAGTTAGTGTGTTTGGGCTTAAAAGCTAACCACCACTTACGACATTTTTTAACGGGAGGAAAATTGCTTGGAATTCCAAACTTTCTTAAAAATGACCATTTGAAACAGGGAGACAGGAAGTACTTGATGATAAAGTCACATGAAATGGGTACCTTGGCTCCAAAGTCAGCAGGACAACTGAAAGGAGGAAAATTCTTTGGTTGTTGACAAAGCCACATGCAGATCCCCTCAATGTGCCAGGTGTAAGAAGTGGGGTTTGGCAGGCAGCTCCTGCAGGCACTTAGTGTCTCAGTCACTGTGGTTATAACTAAACACAGCTGTTTCTTTTCTCAATTTTAATAATGAAGACATTTCTAGCACCTGGCATTAGCTCTGCAGGCACTCATACCAACAGCCACCACCACACAAACCCTATCTCCTCTGTTAACTAATGGTCCAGCATGAATCAGCATAAATGATGGAGACTCTAACTCTTGGGAGGCTCAATGGGAGAAACTGCTGCCTGACAGAGTAAAGCAACACCACATGCCAGCTATTACCTTTGCTGGTTAATATCATAGGATTGGCCAGTTGAGGCTTTGTTGCCAAACTAATCTCCTAGCCTAAGGTCTCCAAGTTTCTTCTGGAAACTGGAGATTCTGCAAAGCTTTATAAAGGGTGGCCTAAGCAAACTTTTCTTCCTCTTTGGTGTACCTGAGCAACTGACTTTCTTCTAGAGAGGTGCCAGAAACAGAACAGAGTCAACAGTCACTTACGCAAAGCCGGTGTGTAAGAACAGCTCTTCAGGTACTATTGAAGAGTGCAAACCTAAGAACTCGGGTTCTCGAGCACCCCTTCCTCCCACTGCCATCAGGAATAACGTAAAACACATGAAAGACTTAAATGACCCAATTACGTATCTGAGTAGAGTTTTAGTCCCGCAGAAGTCAGTGGGCCTGGCAGATAAAGGAACTGTCCACATTACTGGTGAAGAGCTAAGGCCCAGGCTTAAGGATGAGGAGAAAAAACAATTCACAAGCAAAACCAGTCTGTGAAGAGCCCGAGAGCAGTCCCTTGTGAGTGAATGGCAGATCACCCCAGAGGATAGGGGCACAAGATCTCTCCATAAAGCATAAGACTACTGAGCACAACTTTTTGGTTTTTGTTGAGTGGTGCCAAGAGAAAGCAATCAAAATGTTTCAAGAAAAGACTGCAGAATACACTGTGCCTGAAGGCAAAGGCCTCGGGTTTAGCAGCAGTAGTCTCAAGCATGGAGACTAGTGTTTTGGCTTATGCCCAACGTACAGGTTGTTTTTCATTGTCTAAGGCTTTAAATTCTGCTACTGTAGGAAGTGATTCCTAGATACCCAATTGGCTGGCAGATTGCCGATGCAATGAGGACATGGAAGAACCCAGTTCATCAGGCTCCCTATAGCCTTGCACCAGCTCGCCACCCAGTCCATCTGAGAGTCCCTCTCACATCCAGAATTATAAATGAGTGTTCACCAAGGAGTCACATTTCCCCCCACAAAGATATGTCTCTCGGTAGTCTGGAAGGCAAGGTCCTCTATGGCTCGTGGTGGCAATGGAGCCTGAGCAGTGGCTTCAGATATGTGACAGACCCTCTCCCCATCCCTGTTCCTTTGAGCTAAAGGAAACTATATTTGAATCCTATCTCTGGAGTTTCTTGTTTGGCTACAGGGGAAGCAATAGCTTCTCTAGTAGAAGGAGATGCTGGATTTGCCTCCAGGTGGATTCAAGACTTTGTTGTGAGATCGAGGCCGTGGGCCCAGCCTGGGTTCATGGCTGTCGACCGTGGTTGTGGGCTGGGGCTCCTGTGCACAGTCGTCTTCTCTTGGGCCGCTCTTCTCACCCGGCTCTTCTCTGGGCAAGGTGCTCTTGGCAGCTGTGGGACAAAGCAGCAAACCGTCCCATTAGAGCAGGGGTGGGGAACCCTTTTTCTGCCAAGGGCCATTTGGATATTTATAACATCATTCTGGGGCCATACAAAATTATCAACTTAAAAATTAGCTATGAAAAAAGTTCCTAGATTTATTGAATTTCGAGTCCCACCTGCGGTTGCCTTGGCAGAGCCAGACTAAATGAGTTTGGCCTGTGGGCCAGATGTTCCCCATCCCTGCATGAGAGGCTCCCCAACACCTGGATGGGCAAGCTGTGCACATGAAAAGTCTATGACACAGACCAGCTAGCAAGAAATGCATACTGTGATGGGAAAAGAGAAAAACACAGAGCAAGGCTTCCATCTGTAGCAAGAAAACTCAATGACTATTAGCAGAGGCCGTTCTTGAACTGGGCATAAAGGTATGGCTAAGTACTATAAACAACCCTTGACAAATTCCTAAATAAGTTCATTACTTCTTTATATTGTTTGTTGGATTCCATTTCCCTTTTTTCCCCCACCTCAAGTATAAAAAGCAAACTATCTCAAAGTGAGCATGAAAAGAGAGGAAGCCAGTCCTAACGGGAGGTTCTAGCAAGGTGAGGCAAGGCTTTCTAATACTATTACTCTGGACCTTTTGAGTGAACAAATTCCCATGTACCTTGGTCATCAATTGAGGGAAATGGTGACCCAAAGGCAGAAATCAGTGCTCAGAGTCAGCTTAGAGAACCGTGGGACTCACTGCCTGGGTGATAGATTATGGAGGCACCAGCTCTCCCCATCACATGCAAGACTCACATTCTCCCTTCTCATCCTTCCTGTCCCTGCTCTTCTGATGCCTTTCTTTTCCGCATTAGTTCTGCCAGTGCTACCCTTGGCCATGAGTGTATTACAAACTTTGGATCCCTGCCCTTCCCTACAAAAGATCAGCTTCTAGAATAGGACACCTTGGTCTTAGGCTAGGCTCATTAGTAATGACAAGTGAAGAAAACCAGTGGTGACCAGTTGGAAAGCTTTCATCAGAAATAACTGAGCTCATTTCTCTGGCCTTCAAATACTAAATTCCTCTTGGCAATAAACACAACCTTGCTTGTTTTTGTCAACTGGCCTGCAAGGGGCACAGGAATATTACTTCTCATCCTCTGGGGTGCAGCAGCAACTCTTCCAGAGTGAGACCACTCAGGGCAAGAGACAGGCAATCAACTCACCTTGAAGGTCCAATTTTGGGTCTTCTCTTTCACACAAGAGCACATGGTCCTGCAACAAGGCAAACCCCAGGTCAATATGTGATTCAGAAACTTTTTACCCTCATTCAAATGGACAATGAAAATCAAGACATGGATAGATGACTTGGGTTCATTTTTAAGTTCTAAAAACGTTTTTATTACAGACAATTTAAACCATAAACAAGATAGCACTGCAAACCCTTTCACAACCTGCTGTACAGCTGCAATGACATCAACTCACTGCCATCCTGGTCTCAGCCACACAGTTCTCCCAACTGCAATCCCTCCACCCCCTTGTGGAATTATATTAAAGCAAATTCCATTTGCCCATTAAGTAACTGAAGATGTAACGGCTCTTAAAAATGTCCTTAAAAAAACCCCCAGAAAACCCTAACAACACTCTCACCACTGCAAAAATAACTGATTGCTTAAAAGTCTAACACCTAGTCAAATGTTAGAATATTAGGAAGTGTTTCGAGGCTCGTGTTGTAGCATGCGTCAGAAAAGCCATTCCTTTTGATGGATGAATATCTCACCCTATGTGTACAGCACATCCTACTCACCCATTCATCCATTGGTTGACATTTGGGTTGTTTAATAGCATCACTGTAAGTAACACTATTAAAATAGGTGGACAAGTATCTAAGTTGCTGTTTTCAAATTTTGGAGATATGTACCTAACAGCAGAATAGCTGGATCATATGGTAAATTCTATTTAAACTTTTTCAGAAGCTGCAACTGTTTTCCACAGTGGCTGAACCATTTTACATTCTCAACAGCAATGTATGAGGATTTCAATTTCTCCATATCCTTGCCAACAGATAACATTTGTTATTTTGTTTTTTTGATAGCTATCCTAGAGGGTGTGAAATGGTACCTCAGTATGATTTTCACATGCCTTTCCCTAATGACTAAGAATGTTGAACATCTTTTCATGTGCTGATTGAAGAAATGTCTATTCAAATCCTTTGCCCATTTTTGAACTGGTTTGTCTTTTTGTTGTTTGGTTGTAGGAATTCTTTATATGTTCTGGATAGCAAAACTTGATCAGATATGTGATTTCAAATATTCTATGGGTTGTGTTTTTATTCTCTTGATAGTTTTTTTTTTTTTGGTTAATCCTCACAAAAGGTTACATTTTCTATTGATTTTTAGAGAGACTAGAAGGGGGGTGAGAGGGAAACATTGATGTGGGAGATTGAACCTGTAACCCAGGTACTTGCCCTTCACCAGGAATTGAACCCATGCCCCTTCAGTGTGTGTACAAACGCTCTCTTCACTGAGCCATACTGCCAGGGCTCTTGATAGTGTTTTTTTAAAAAATCATTTTATTCCACCCCCCATAAAAAATTTTTTAACTATAGTTGACATGCATTATATTAGTTTCAGGTGTATAACACAGTGATTAGACATTTATATAGCTTACGAAATAATCACCCCCATAAGCCTAGTATCTACCTGACACCATACATAGTTATTACAATATCGTTGACTCTATTCACCATCCCATACTTTATAGCCCCATAACTATTTTCATAACTAGCAATTTCCCTCACCTTTTTAGTGCAAACCTCCTCTCATCTAGCAACCACCAATTTGTTTTCTGTATCTGGGTTGGTTTGTTCATTTACTTTTTTAGATTCCACATATAAGTGAAATCATATGGTATTTGTCTTTCTGTTTGACTTATTTCACTAAGCATAATACCTTCTAGGTCCATCCATACTGCCACAAATGGCAAGATTTCATTCTTTTTCATGGCTGAGTAATATTCCATTGTATATACGTACATCTTCATCCATTTGTCTATCAGTGGACACTTAGGTTGCTTCCATATCTTGGCTACTATAAATAATGCTGCATTGGTGGTGTCTATATATGTACAAGTTTTTAATTTTATCTACTGACTGATTTTTAGAGAGAGGAGGGGAAGGGAAAGAGGGGGAAAGGAGAGGAGAGAAAAAGAGAAACATCGATTTGTTGTTCCACTTACTTATGCATTCCTTGTTGAGTCTTATATGTGCCCTTACTGGGGATCTAATCCACAACACTGGCATATCAGGATGACACTGGAACCAACTGAGCCACCCGGCCAGGGCCAAAAGTTTTTAATTTTAATGAAGTCCTATTTATTTATTTAAAATTTTGTTGCCTGTATTTTTGGTGTCATTTAAGAAACCACTGCCAAATCTAAGATCATAAAGATCTGTCTTAAATTTTCTTCTAAGAATTTTAGTTTTAGCCCTTGAATGTAAGTCTTTGACCCATTTTTAATTTTTGTATATGGTGTAAGGGTCCACCTTCATTTTTTATATGTACATAACCAATTTCCCCAGCACTATCTGTTGAAGTGACTGTTCTTTTCCCCACTGAATGATCTTGGCACCCTGTGGACATATCAATTAACCATAAATGTGAGAATTTACCTTGGTTCTCAATTCTATTCCACTGGTCTATATATCTTATCTTTATGCCAGTGCCACGGTTTTGATTACTGCAGTACATGAAGAGTGAGCCTCCAACTTGGTTCTTCATTTTCAAGGTGGTTTGACTATTTGGGGTTCTTTGAGATTCCATCTGAATGTTCCTATTTTTTCAAAAAAGCATTGTTGGGCCCGGCCGGGTCTGGCTCAGCTGTTAAGCGTTGGCCTAGGATCCAGGAGATCACAGTTTGATTCCCAGTCAGGGCACATGCCTGGGGTGTGGGCTTGATCTCCAATGGGGGGCGTGCAGGAGGCAGCTGATCAATGACTCACTCATCACTGATGTTTCTCTCTCTCTCTCTTCCTTCCTCTCTCTGAAATCAATAAAGACATATTAAAAAAAAAAAAAAAAAGGAATGTTGGGACTCTGATAGGGATTGTGTTCTTAAGTCCTTTGTTAAAAATTAGGATATCCCTCTACTCTGCCATTAACTTCCTATATTTTGGATAACTCTGATTGAATCCTTGTGGTGTTGACTAATAAGAGGTTTGATCTGATTCGGGCCTGTTTTTGATAATCAGAGGTGTTCTATGAAGGCCTTCTGTTATGGGTCTCATCGTTTTTGGTTCATCTCTCATTCTGTGATGTTGGGTGCCACAATTTCATTCCAAGTCTGCAAAATGGTGGTGTTTGACTTCTGTTATTCCTTCATTTCTAGGCTGGCGTACTTTTAGAAAAGGCCAGTTTCCCTGAAAAACTTATCCTGAGGTACAGTTCATGCAGGAAACGCTGTCTATGTGTGTGATTCTGCCCTGGCTGGTGTGGCTAGGTTGACTGACATCGTCCCACGCACCGAGTCGTTCCTGGTTCGATTCCCAGTCAGGGCACATGGCTGGGTTGCGAGCTCGATCCCCAGTAGGGGGCGTGCAGGAGGCAGCCAATTGATGTTTCTCTCTCTCCCTTCTTCTTTAAAATCAGTAAAAACATATTTTAAATGAATAAATAAATAAATAAATAGTTTTGACTCTGTTAAACATTTTTAGCTGTTTTCATAATGAGTTGGTCCTTGGGCAAGTTGGTCCACCTTCTCCAAAGGTGACAAATAAGATTTAAAAAGTAAAATTAGGAAACCCATGAATTCTAAATACTTGATGAATTTCAGTCCAGTGCAATTGTATTTATTAATGACCACTAAATATTGTGAAATTTTTGTGAAATGTGAATTCCTCTTTCGTATGATCAATTTTATAACTATTCTTACCACCCCTCAGTGATTTGCAGAGAAGAGCAGTAGCCTATCTGCAGTGAGCAGTTGCTGCTATCAGTACACTAAGACCAACCTCCCCCAGGGCTCAGTCATCATGAGCTTGGAATCTATTTCCCCAATGACTCAGGGGAGCTTCAAAACTCAATTACTAATGACTGCATCCAGGAAAATCAACGTCACTCTTCTTGTCTCTTCCTAATAACATGTCAAAGCTGCCTCAGGGTCTTTGAGAAAAGAACTTGGCTCAGTTTGTTTTTCTTATTTTCATGTCTGCAATCTGAATGTAGTCCATACCTTGGGTTTGTTTGGATGTGCCAAGGGTAAAGTGGCAGTCACTGGGGACCCGAAAATGTCACTGGTCTTCCCACCAGGTGGATTCAGACGCTGTCGAGTGTGCACAGGCGCTGATTCCTCAAAGATACCACTTCCTTTCCCCCCTGCAGAAACAATCACAGAACAGTGAGCAATCCAGAACATCCACCTGCTCCTGCCTTCCACATTCATTACTTCAGAGACCTCCTCTCATAGTAACACCCTAGTTCAGTCCTAAGTTCAGGCCAACAAGGTTGGGATAATGAGAGTCCCTAAAGACCTATGTCAAACCTAACCCCTTTACCAGGTTCCTGCTGGAGCCTTCATTTCTGGAACTGAGCTGAACTGGGCTGGCTGCTAGAAGCAAGACAGTGAGATGGCATAAAACAGCATTTCCCCTCTAGAATTTCTTTACCCATGAACTTTTCATGCTTTTTTGTTGAACAATCTTCTTCATTAAACCCATGAAAAGTTCTTTAGTAGATTAAAAGCAAACAGCTTCTAAGTTTTTAGGTTAGACAGGACTGAATTTAATAACATGCCCAGTTACAGGCAAAGCTATAATCTGGAAAATAATATTTAGTAGTCATTTTCTGACCTCACTCTGGTTAGAACTTCCAGTGACAGGTAGGTATGTCAGTAAATCACGGACATGTAACATCTTTGCTGGCAACTACAAGTGATCTGGTAAGCCATAATCAAAACATGTATCTAAGCCCAGCTGGTGTGTCTCAGTGTTTGAACTTTGTTGACCCATGCACTAGGTTGCTGGTTTGATTCTCAGTCAGGGCACATGCCTGGGTTACGGGATCAATCCCTTGTGGGGGCCGTGCAAGAGGCATCCAATTGATGTTTCTCTTTCACCGATGTTTCTCTCTCTCTCTCTCCCTTCCTCTTTCTCTAAAAAACAAAACAAAAAAAACAATAAAAACATACTTCAAACAAACAAACAAACAAACAAAAAACATGCACCTAAGATTTATAAGTTGATGACTTAGGCCTGGACATGAAAAGTAAATGTTTAAATGCCCCACATCAAGCAGAAAGATGGCTACTATGCCATCTTTCAGATCATCTCTTCACTCAGCAAACACCAAGCATGCACCTCCTTTCCACAAAGTGCTGTTAAGTGGAGGTGGGGCCATTACCATCATGGGCCTGGTACACCAACAATTTATCTTACAAGGAGGAAAGAGGATGCATTCCACTAACTAGTTATATGACCGCACACAAGTTACTGGCCTTTGTGCCCCAAATTCCTCATCTGTAGAATGTAGCTAATAAAAGGACCTTCTTTACAGCACCATGAGAGGATTCAAGGACTTCAGCTCATATGTCAAATGCTTAGAACAATGCCCGGACACAAATGCTCAATAGACATTGGCCGGTTTTTCCATGTACTGGACGTACTGTTCAGGGAAAAGCAGCACAAGCATTCTGCATAGCACATGATGTCTTATGTGGAGAAAGGGGGTATTCTGTTTGCTCGTATCTGAGTAAGGAGAAGCACTTAGTCACTTCTCAGCTATAACCCACAGTTTCAACAGGAGGCCACAAACCCTTACGGACAATACGGATGATGAGCTCCATGAGAGTGCCCAGGGGAGGCGGCTCCACTGGGGGTTGATTCGCTCAATAGCCTTCAGAACCCCACTGCTGGAGTGGATACTAAAGCAGGGTGGCCTTCTGGGATGCCAGAAAGTAGCACACAGAAAGGAGTGGCTGGACTGGGGTTCCCTGCCTTTTTGGGTGGGAGAACACAGAATACATGGGACTGCTCTGCAGGAAAATGTGCACACACGTATTCACATAACATCAGGGCAATTATAAACCTGAACCTCGGCTATGGAGCTCCCAAGGGGCCAAAGACACCAAGTTGGAAACTCTCAGGCTGGGAAACTAGTACTGCATGATGGTAAGGGCAGTTGATCTGTGACCAGACTGCTGGATGGAGACCCTGCTCAGTCACTTACTCTGTGAGGCTGGATAACTGACCTCAACCTTCTTTTGTCTCCATTTTCTCAACTCTACTGAGGTATAAAAAATAATAGTATCTCATGGTCGGTGAGATACATGAATTACTACACATGAAGTGGGTAAGGCCTCAGTAATGCCAATAGGCTGTTATTAACTGTGTTGTTAGCAAAAATGTCTAGAACACGAAGTGAAGAAAACCTACTGCCTGAGGTCATCCCCTTATTGCATTGTTTCTGGTTATGCTAAAGTAAATTATTTTTTAAATGCACATTCAGCTTTTAAAAAATGTTAGATAAAAGTAACTCAATTTAAAGGTTTTGGCTAGAGGCTCAGCTCATTCAAAAACATTTTTTAAACTGTGAAACATAACAGAAAAGTTCCTAAGACACAACTACCACAAATAAAGACAAAGAAAACACTCACATACCTACCACCAGATTGTACAGATGCTATCAGCTCCCTGAGTATTCCTTCCCCATTACTCTACATCACCACAACTGAATTTTCTAGAAATCACAAACTTGTTATTTCTTTTATAGTTTTACTGTGTATATGGCCAACCCCAAGCAATATAGTTCTGTTTTTGAAAGTATATAAAGTAGTCACACTGCATGCCTATTCTCAATATTTTACCTAAAAGATGAATTCAGCTTTGAAGACAGAAGAGGTGCTCAAACCATCCGTAACTGAAGAAAAATAAATTCAAGATATATGGTGGTAGAGCGTGAGGAGCAACATCACATATGTCATGGTGAGCACTGGGCACCCATAGAAGACAAGCTGGAAGCATCTATCAGTATTTTATTATTTTTATTTATTTAAAAATTTTTTTTAGATTAGCATTTTTAAATTCTATTCTTTTAATTCTTTCTTCTCTGGTTGTTATTTTATTTTTTATCCTCACCTGAGGGTATTTTTTCCATTGCTTTTTCAGAGAGTGGAAGGGAAAGAGAGAAACATCCATGTGAGAGACACACATAGACTGGCTACCTCCCGCACCCGCCCGAATGGGGCGGCCAGGGATTGAGCCTGCAACCCAGGTACATGCTCTTGGCTGGAATCGAACCCAGGGCCCTTCAGTCCTTGGGCCTATGCTCTAACCACTAAGCCAAACCAGCTAGGGCTATCAGTATTTTAAATCATCCAACAAGTTCATTTTGACAAATTTATACCAATAGATATACTCAGAAAGTAAGCTTGTAGCTCCAGAGTCAGAAAAACCCATATGCAAAGGCTAATTTTGCTACCAGAGTTGGGTTTAAAATACCTGTGAACCTCCCTGAGCCTGTTTTCTCCTCTATAAAGGGGGCAACACCACCTACCTCCTAGGGTTGCAGAGAGAACCAAATAAATACATGCAAGCATTTAGCATACTCCCTGGCAGATATTAATTCCACACATACGAATTATTGTTAGACCACCAGGAAAAACAATTTGTGGAAGATCTAAACCAGGCAACTACCAAAGTACATGCATGAGGAGTAAACAAAACACTGGGTATGACAATCCTTTGCATATTTCAGTGACTCACGTACTAAGTCACAAACTATGCCCAGAACACTTTTCTCAATCAGGCCCTCTTACTGAAGGGATGTGCTGGCTAAGTCTGTGAGACTAAACAAGAAACGAGGGCAGGAGTTTAGGTCTGGGGTTGTGGACATAACTAGCAGTTTTCTGTTTCCAGCTTCCCTTGAGAATTCATCCCAGATAATTTTTTTAAAAATTGATTTCAAAGAGAAGGAGAGGGAGAGAGAGTCGGCTGCCTCCTGCAAATCCCCGTAGAGGATTGAGCCCCCAACCCGGGCATATGCCCTGACTGGGAATTGAACTGGTGACCTTTTGGTGTATGGGATGACGCTCAACCAACTGAGCCACACCAGCTGGGGTCATCACAGATAATTTTAAAGGACGCTTGGCAGGACAGAAACAAACCCCAAACAACAGGACCACAAGAGCAGGAACTTGGCAAAGGGGATCATGCTGGTTGCTGACACACCTTGTAACCATGCACAACAGAGGCTTTCTCACTCTCCGGTCAAGAGGGGCCCAGGGTGCTCATTGGGCATAAGAGCTGGGGGATCGTAAGAGAAAAGTTCATAAGACACAACTATAACAAAGGCAAAGCAAACACGTAACCACCACCAGATCATATAGATGCTACCGGCTCCCAAATTCTGAGTAGCACTGTCCCCAAGTTGCCACAATTTCCAGGGAACCTGACACCCCAGGGACAGCTCTAGATATACACTCTGCTGAGTCAAGGCCAAGGGAGCTGGCTTGTCCACCTTCAGGTGCCTCAGATTTGATCCAATTTGCCACATGACCCACTATTACACTATTATTGGTACAAAGGATGTACAGGGCTGACCACTCCTGGCCCTACACCCATAAACTGGATACAGTGAGAACATTATTCATTTAGTAAAATTACAGTACCTGCTTCTCTACTATAACTGTATCTCATCAACCCCACCCCCCAACAAATCAAACAAAACACTAGCTTTTGAATCTACTGCTTTTGTTTCTTTGGGTTTGCTCAATAAGTATGTGTATCTGCCAAATACACACATGCACACACAGAACTGAGATAGAGTAGCAAGCAGCTCTAGCTCTGGTTCTTCTCGATTTTATTATTGTCTGAAATACTGATTCCTCTGCCTAGCCTCTCAAATCTTTAAGGATGGAATGCACCTTGCTTTTCCTCATGGATACAGAGTAGAGCTCCTCAGGTAACCAGCACTGTATGGTCAACTCAACTGGACAGTCTATCAGTCATGGAAAACATTGTTCTAAGATGCTCTCCCACTGTAATCACCAGAATGTGCGGTAAGAACTAACTATATAGATGTGTGCTAGACCAAGTCATCTTTTATTTATTTATTTAATATATCTTTATTGATTTCAGAGAGAGGAAGGGAGAGGGAAACAGATAGAAATATCAATGATGAGAGAGTCGTCATTGATCAGCTGCTTCCTGCACGCCCCTGACTGGGCATCAAGCCTGCAACCCAGGCATGCGCCCTGACCAGGAATCGAACTGGCAACCTCTAGGTGCATGGGACAACACTCAACCGAGACACACTGGCCAGGCCAAGAAAAATATTAAATGCGTAATATGTGCATAATTTCAGGAATCTCAAGACATCCACAGGACAACTGGGAGTCTCCCTGGCGGGAGCCAGTATCCCACCATCAGCCTTTGCATCCTCAGTGCCTACACCCAGCCAATGTTTGTTGACAGAGAGGGAGAATTAAGAATGACCGAGCCACCTTCAAGTAAAAGTCAAGAAAAACCCTTCCTCACATTCTAGAACTGTGATGGCAAGGGATAACCTATACCAGAAAATATGTGAAAGGATCAATATAAAGAAAAAGGAAATTTTATCTAAAGAGCAGCTAAATAAGAACAGGTAGACGCCAAAGCACAAATGAGTCACAAAGGCCCATACCTGGGGGGTTGGTCCTCTTAGGCATGTTCTGAGGTTCTTCAGTTGGTCCAAAAATATTTGACGCCATCCTGTTGGGTCGGTTTGAAGGAACAACTTCTTCTGGACTTCCAAAAAGATCGCTCGATGCTCCTCCTGGGGGCTTCATGCCCCTGCAAACACAGAGCAAGCATGAGTGATGGAGGCTGACCTGGACCTCAATGTACATAACTAGATGGCACACGCACTCTCTTAATGGCTATGGAAAAATTACACACCGCAACTACTCCATACTGGCATAACTAGTTTACAGACGGCCATATGGCAAACTTCCTCTACTGCCCTTTAGGTTTCCTTCAAAGTTTTTTGTTATGTCTTGGTTATGCAGAAAACCCTCTTGAAATGTGTATATTATTCCTGGACCTCTTATAAGTAAATTAAAGTTTCCCTAAAACAGGCAAATTGAGCCACATTCAGTAGAATTTAATACAAATTTTAATTAGTATACAGTAGTGTTTAATACTATAAACACATTCAGTGGTGTTTAATACTGCAGCTTATATTTGTTAAGTGCTTACTATATGCCAGCTACTGTTCTAAAGACCTTACACACAGCCCTCTAAGGCAGGCATTATTTCACAGACCATGAATCTGAGATAAAGAGAAATCACAAAACAGGCCACATAAGGAGTAGCAGAGTTAGGATCCAAGCCCAGGTTGTCTGGATCTAGAGCTCAGACCATGCCCTAATGCCTCCTAAAGACCTCCAAGAAAAAATGAGGAGGGAAGCTCCCATTTAACTATAGATCAAGCCTGACCCACAGATCTGGGTCTTCAGAAGGGCAGCACTTGGATATGGAAGGACTCAGATGTGCTGTTACTGTAGACTACACACCGGATTTTGAAGACAAAAGGGCAAAATATCTCTTTAATCTTGTCTTTAGATAGACCACATGTTGAAATAGTGTTTTATACATATTAGGTTGAATTATGTCTATTAAAATTAATTTTTCCTGATTCTTTTTACTTTTAAAAATGTGGATACTAGAAAATTTAAAATTCCTTATGTGGCTCACATTTCTATTGGAAAGTGTCAGCTTAGACCATGGAGAGTGCCACTAACATTAATATAGGTGAGTCCTGAGAATCTATGGCAGGTTAATCATCTCCGGTCCTCAAGTCCGGTTTAACCAGTAACATGCTGAATATCCTAAAGCAGAGAAAACCCCTGCCAGCACCATTGTTCATTTCAGATCAACGCATATGCACCAAGTGTAATCTCTAAAACACACTGACCTTCTATGAAGGTTTTTCTAAATTTTGAGAGTATACTTAACTAAAGCTGGGGACAGTGATACAAAGAAGGGCTTAGGATAGAGGAAGCAACAGATTAGGTGGGGCTGCTTTTGGCTCACTGGAAAGTCAGAGAATAGGGGCCTTGGAGAGAGGTTCAAGGGATTAGGCTGGGATGAGCTGCTGCTGCCCATTGGTCCCCTGGTTGCAAGTCTTGTGGGGTCCCTTAGAGTTTGGGAATGCACACCTGAGAGAAAAGAAAGGTGCAGGTGTGCTTCCAAGAGGGAGAGCGCATCTGAGGGTTGATTTTAATTAAACACCTACAAAGAACAGTGGCATTCCCATTGCTCAGTCAACAACAGCAGTATCTACCTGAAGTCTCCATCTTTGGCAAACTGTTATGCACAACTTGGAGATTCTAAAGCGGACATTTCAGGAGAGGAAGATGAGGACCTTGAATCAGTATCGCAATAACTGAAGAATTAAATTTTCACAAAGCTTTGCCCTGATAGCCCCTGAGTTTGCCTACTTTCACAAAGCAGCAACACACTGAATTCACAGCATCTTTTTAGAACACCTAGAAAGATTTTTAAAATGCATCTTAAGAGAGGGGCCTACTGAAATTGAGTTTTAAATTGGTGAGTGGTCTAGGCTCTTTTACTAGTCCTAAGCAAGAGTAACACTTAGATGAAGTTACAGAGCTCCACAACACATGAAAGCTCCAATTCGAAGTTAGGCCTCACTGGAAAGCTATACAAACACTCAAAAATTTAGTTCACAAAAATAATAGGGTATTTTAAATGTTTCTTCAAAAGAGCTAGAATGGGAGCTGATCATTCATTGTAATTTAAAGTGAAAAGGTCTCAGATTCCATGGCTATAAAGCAGGACTGCAGAAAGCACTCATCTGCTCTACCGAGGGCAGACAACATGCCAGCCTGGGCCTAGAGACCAGCAGGCCGGCTATTCAACACCACAGGAGCCAAGTGTGCAACTGTCAGGCCTTCCATGTGGTGCCCAAAGTCCCTGTCTGCTGGAGAGGATGCCCAGGGTGGGTGCCTGTTCAGCAGTTAGCATTCCCTTAAGGATTTAATGAAGGAAAAAAATTACTTCAGTTTGAGAGACAAAAAAATTTTTTTTAAACTAACCAATAACTAGACTTAAAGGGCTTAATAGGACTGATCATGCACTTTGTTGGTGGACACAGTGAGGCCATCTGACTCCTGTATGTATTTGTAAGTCACAGAGCCTGGGTCACAATGATATTCCCCATATTTTTCTTGGCTAGTTACATACAGCAGGTCCAACATGCTTGGGTCTCCACAGCCATTTCTTTGAAAAAGGGAATAGAAACCTGCAACCTTCAGAAATGAACTGAATTTAACACCAAGTTTCATACTGGCATGAATTAAAATTCCCACTTACTAACTTATTCAAAACATGGCAATTCTTTCAGACCCTAAAGGTCCCACAGATTGTCAGATCGGATTCAGAGGAGACTCATATGGATTCAAATCTCTCGGGACGCTTCCCTGACTCTCACATTCTATAGTCTTGAACCTCCCAAGTCTCCTCAGCCTCTTGCCCTTGTTTCATTCAATTAAATTCATGCTCACTGAGCACCTATCACTGGCAAGCCTGTGCCAGACCCTGATGATAGAAAGATGAGTGACAGCAAGTCCTTGGCCCAGAGAAACTTCAGGTTTACTGAAAAAACTAGAGTTGTGCATAGGTGGTTTCCATGCTCTGTGAGTGATGCGACAGAAGCACTGAATGCTAGCTACTGAATCCCAGACATACTTGGAGGAGAGGCCCAAACTGAGTCTACAACCTCCGTGAGGAAAGAGCCTTCCAGGCACAGGAGATACCATAGCTATCTGAAATGATGAAATGTTAAT